AGAAAGTCATCCTTGACTTGATATATCAAAATGTCTTCTCCCAAACGAAATTCCCTTTCAATGTCTGAAACCATGTAAGTCACCGTCTAGAACTACCTTAAAAATTGCCTCCTTCAAGAAGTCTTCCTGAAGTAATGTTATTTAACCCTGATTATTCTTTTAACAACTCATTCATTCTGCACATCACATATACAGTATCATTGAATAAGTCTACATTGTTGCCCATGTGTTATCTCCTAGATTGGTTAGCTTCTAATGTAATTCTTAGGAGACCTCCCCAAATTAGAGTGCACTGCAAATAAATGTCTAGGAAGTAGTTAACTAGCTGAAGCGATGTTGATTTCAGCCTGAGATTTCCCACCATAGGGAATTTCTGTGGGGAAACAAAAAAGTTTGGAAAGAGCTCCAAACTGAATAGCAAGCCTTCACTCTTAAGAAGTTAACGCTGTACTTGGACTCTAACACAAGAGTAGGAGCCACGGGAAGGAGCACGATTCCCACTTTCCCCAGTTTTTAGAGGCTACTGGTTTTTCTTCATAGTATTTGTTGTGTGGCCAGTAGTACTAATGATGCATGCAAAACTATGGCAACCTTCCTGCTGACTCTTTTGCCTCATGATAACCCATGAACTTAAATCCCAAGACATAGAAGTGAAATACTTAAGGAAGGACATGGGATGCTATGGAGGAGAAACAGTTACAGAGGAGAAAAAGCCAAGGCTGGAAAAAAAAAATTGAAGCTTGCAAACATCCTCCCACCTCTCACCCCTAGTCTAGCAAAGGAAATGCTGGCCGCCTAAAGCTGATTCTCAGGAGTCTGCAGTATCACCGGCTGTGCTCCAGCACCACCACATGGGAGGTGTTAGCTCCAATACGAATAAATCTCTGCACAGCTTTATTTAAAATGTAGTCATAGGCACATCCCAACCTGCAGAGATAAAATATTACTTTTTGAAAATTCTGTGAAGAGATAAACTGAGGCAGAGTCACAATCACCATTAAAGAGTTGGGACTTGATCTAGATGAGATTTACACTTTGGTTCAAATAGAGAACTACTGGACCTGATTTCATTAACAGGGGAAATTCCCTCAACCAATGAAGGGCAGCACTTTCCCTTCAATTACAGCTCTAGGGAGTTGCCTAGACTAGAGGTTTCAAACACCTGACTGAGAACATGAAGTGTGTAAAATTCCTGAGTGTGGCCAGAACCAGATTAAAATGTTAATTGGGAAATGTTTAACAAAATAAATAAAAATGCAATAAAACATGGATAATGTTAATTGGTGGTTTTCTAAGTCAATATACTGCTTGCAGGGATCCTTACGAATACCATTTTGCTACGTGAGTTTGACACCACTACAGTAGTGCAATCTTGCTCCTCTGTTAGTGCTATCAGAGACAGAACAAGATCTTACATCCTTCTGAATCACAGTCCAGCTCTCTTTCCACTAAACCACAGTCTCAAATTCATAAAAACTGTTAATAGAATGGGAACAATGGCAGATATAATGCCAAACAGGATTTTGTGAAAATAATTTACAATTGCTTTTGAAATGCATCTTTTTTTTTTCTAAAGTGCTTACCTTCCTAATTATATTTTACCTAACCAAATAGTTATATTAGCTTGATTCCCAAAACATACAAGCTCCTCAGTGGGCAAGAGCAAATAGACAAGAATATAATAGAAAATGAGCAAAAGGTAACCTAGAATCAAGTAACCTACCCAGAGATACTTCACCTGAAGATAATGAGTCAATGCTTTAGTAGTAAAGGATGTTATAAATATCCTTCAGGTTGTAAAAAGATTCAATAGATTGTAACAAGGATATTTGAAGACTCAAAAATGGCAGTAATAAATGCTTCTAGGTGGCACAGTAGATAATGTGCTAAGCCTGAAGTCAGGAAGACTTCTCATTCTGAGTCCAAATCTGTCCTCAGACACTTAATAGCTGTGTGACCCTGGGCAAGTCACTTAACCCCGATTGATTCCCGAACCCTCAAAACAAAAGACTGGGAAAGTAGGAAGGGGGCAGGTTGTGAAAAACCTTAAATGACAAATGTAGGAGTTTCTATTTGATCATGGAAGTGAGACCTACTGGAGTTTACTGAGAATGGGGAGTGACAAGGTTAGACTTTTGATTTTGGAAAATCACTTTGGAAGGCTGTATGGAGAATGGATTGGAAAGGGGAGAAAGTTCAGGCAAGGAGATCAATCTGGAGGCTATTGAAATAGTCCAGGCAAGAGGTGACAAGGACCTGAAATAAAGGGGTAGATGTGTAACTAGAAAGATGGGGACATATACAAGGGTGAACATAGTAAAGAAAAGATTTGGCAGCTACTTGCCTGGGAAGCTAGAAGGTTTTGGTACTCTCAACAGTTACAGGAAGTTGGGGAAGAGAAGAAGGTTTTGGGAGACAGATCACAAATTCTGTTTTGAATGTAATGAGTTTGAAAGCATGAAAGGTGTGGTTCGAAATGTCCAATAGTTGGATGTGTGTTTGTGTGTGTGTATATACGTATGTATACACACACACACACACACACACACACACATATATATATATATATATACATACATACATATATATTTATATATACACATGTATACCAGCTTCATAGAGATAATTAAACCCGAGGGAGCTGATGAGAGCATAGAGGGAGAGGGTAAAGAGAAAAAAGAGAAGAGGGTCAGGAGAGAACCTTTGGTGATACCCTTAGAGGTTATTACAAAGATGAAAATCCAGCAAAGTAGACCGAGGAACAGTGGAATGAGAAAAGAACCAAGAGAAGGTAACATCATAAAAACCCTGACAGAATATCTATTAGAAGGCTGTGACCAACAGTGTCAAATGCTGCAGAGAGGTGACAAAGGCTGAGGATTGAGAAAAGATCATGCAGTTTGGTAGTTAAAAGATAATTGGCAACTCTGGAGTGAGCAGTCTCAGCTGAATGACGAGGCTGCAGATTGTTTAGAAAAGAGGAAGTTGAAGCATCATTCATTGATGACTTTCCCCCATACTTTGGCAGCTGTATGGAGAATGGATTGAAGTGAGAAAAACTTGAGGCAGAGACATGAATTAGAAAGCCATTTCAGTAGTCCAGATGAGATGATAAAAGCCTGAACTAAGGTGGTGGTCCTGTCGGTAGTGAGTAAATCAAAAGACAACCTTTGATTTTGTTTAAGGCCTTACTTAGTATCAAATGATCTGGCCTTGATAACTAATGAGGACTTTTATATAGGCTTTCAAAAGTCTGCCATGATTGAGTATCCACAATGACATCTCATTATCATTATATATCAGAATATCATTGTGTCAGAATGAAAATAAGCAACTTTATTCTTCCAAAAGGATCCTAAGTCACCTTCTTCATATTACAGATGAGGGACCAGAGCAGTGGAATGCTTTACCCAAGGTCACACAGGTAGGAAAGGGGGAGAACTGGGACTTGAACCCAGGTTTTGCAACTTCTTTCCAAAACACTGTAGCAGACTGTTCTGGTTTCATCTTTAAAAATCCATTTAAACCCATTCAAGGCTCACAGTATCCAACTCAAGCAAGACTTTAAAAGCACAGCAAAACTAGAGCCCTTCCAAATGCTGCAGTGAGGTGTGTGCCCAATAACCTTGACTGTCTTCTATTAGCTGTAGGTTGCATGTGATAAGCAATTTTTCCAAGAGCAGCCTCTGGCCTACAAGGAGAGAACTCCTATGCCTGCTTTAGAAAGGCTCTGCTAAGTCAGAGGATCAGGGTCCTAGACCTAGTTCTGCTACTTACTACAGGTGGGATCACAGGCAAGTCATTTAACTTTTCTGTGCCTCAGTTTCCCCATCGGTAAAAAACGAGGAGGTTGGACCAAATGATACCCGGTTCTTTTAGCTTTAAATCCCCAGATTCAACCCTACAGTTTAGCTTCAAGGAAATCCACCACAGTGACAAATGCTGTATCTGCAAAATAAGGCCACGGAGGCAAGCCCCCAAACCTTTCCTACTATCGTGTTTCTCCCCAAAGGATGAGGGTCATCGCTTTCCGCTTTTCTCCACCCGTGGCGCTAATACATAGCTAGTAAACTCTAGACATCAAAAAGGAAGGCCTTAAAGATGGAAGTTTGACACAGAAGTCACAACTTCAGAGAATGACTCAAGGGCAGCAGCCTTCCAGCACTAAGTCCCGCAGCCCCACCCTGGTTCCACTGGATCTCTCTGCATCATCGGTACTGGGACAGCTCCTGAAAATCCTTCCGCAAATGCCCAGCACTATTTTAAAGTTGCACCTCAGAGACTGTCCCCCGTGTCTCTGGGCCCCCACCATCGGGCCTCCTGGCATTCTGGCAACTACTGCAGTAGGGAGGAAACTAACATGCAAGTGCAAATACAAATGGACAAAACGTTTCCACGAGGCAGGAAAAAAAGAGAGCCCCAATTCCCTGGGCGGTGACCGGCTCCTAGCAACAACCCAGCCGCCCCCGCCCGTGTTCCCAAAAGGGAGTCTTGCTGGCTGCATCCGGGGCTGCGTGCCTACTAGGCCAGCTCGGAAACCCCAATGTCATCGAAAGAGGCCCGCGGCAGGCCCAGCCCCGTGACCTTCGGTCTCCTCCGCGCCGCGCGTACTTTCAGTTCAGAGAGGCCCAGGGAAAGGGCTCGGGCAGGCGGTGCTCGCTAGATGTGCACCCAACGAGGGCGGGAGGTGGTGAGAATAAGGGACGCAACCAAGAAAACCTTGACCTTGGAGCTCCCCCTGGCTACTCAGCCTGTGACCCTGCTTCCTAACCCTTCCACCCGCGACTCTGACAGGCTGGGAAGAGGAACGAGATGGGGGAGGGGGAGGGCAAAGAGATAGTTTTTTAAATTGAGAGAAAAGAGAGGGAAAGAGTACCTAAAAGCTAATCAGCAGGCGGCTGGGGTTCTAGTTAGGGTCCGGAGAAGGGGAGGCGGTACAGCCAGAGCGAGTGAGTGGCACCCTACTCAGCTTAGCAGTCCCACAGCCCCCATCCACTTACCTAAATTACCTTCCCCCAACAGGCGCAAGGCGATCTGAATAGGTAGTAGAGCGCTCTACTGACAAACAGGCAGAGAGGAGAAAAAGGAGGAGGAGGAGGAGGAGGCTGTGCCCAGAGTGGACCACGCCCTCGGAAGAACCCCTCCCCTCCCTGGCCACAGGCCACGCCCTTTCCCTCCCTTCTCTTCTATTGGGCGGGGCTCTGGGGTCCAAGGATGGGCTCCTGGGGAGGAGTGCGGCTGGAATCGCGAGAACCATGGCCTGATGCTTCTCTGCACTGCGACACCCCCTTTCCAAGAACCTAACTCATCTAGGTGGTCCTTTGTTCCCAGCCCCGGCTCCACTGACGTTCTACTCTTTGCTGTCTCGCAACGGGAGCCGGGAAGTAGCGCGTTATTACGTTTGCCTCCACAGAACCACCGTAGTTCTGCTCTATCTTTATTTTTTAAGGTCTGGAGAGAAAGCAACTCTAGCTTTTGATTCTCTCCTCTTTCTATTTGGCAGGAATACATTGCGGAAAACCGGCCGGAAGCCTCTGCCCTAGTAACTTCTTTAGCAGAAGCATGGGAATCTGTGATATGTTACTGTTCATTGTTTTTAAAAATGCCTAGATTTGGGGGAGAATCTGACTCTGTACTACTAGTTATTACTTTTATTTATGCTTTTTTTCCTTAAAAACAGCAATAATTTCCCAATATCGTCCTTGGTAGCAAAGACAAATTTGGGCAAAAATCCAAGTAGTCTAAAACCTCCTCTAACCGAAAGAAAGGAGGCATGTTTCCTTCAAGATTCAGACTCTTAATTTTACACTACCTCTGTTAGCTAAATTCTGTATTTCACCAAGAAATTGAAACAAGATTTAGCTAAGTGGGTAGAGAAGGAGAAGTGGCATTCATGCTGGTGAAGTTTTACTTAATTCCTGTTTGAGTCTCCGTGGTTTGATTGTTCTCTGCCCTTCCCCTCCCCACCCCTTTTTAATAATAGCTAACATTTTTATAGCTGTTACTGTGTGCCAGGCACTGTGCTAAGCGATTTACAATGATTACCTCATGTGATTCTCACAAGAGCCCTGGGAGATAGGTGCTGTATTACAGATGAGGAAACTGAGGCAAACAGAGATCCAGTGACTTGCCCAGGGTCATAAGGCTGGTAAGTATTTGAGGCTGGATTTGAACAAAGGTCTTCTGGACTTGGGGAAGGGGGGAGTTCTCTATTGACTGTTTTTTGACTGTTTAGAGGTCTATTGACTTCTAGGTCAAATTTGTTCTGTGAAGTTTGGATTCAGTCAAAGAGCCGCACTTGAGGACGTAGAGGGCCACAGGTGGCCTCAAGGCTGAAGTTTTCCCACCCCAGCCCTAGCCCCTTCTGTTTCTAGAAGGAAGGGACAAAGAGCTACTTCATTCTAGGATACAGCTCTACTGTTTCTTTCAACAGAGTCCCTAAACTGCCTTAGCTGTCCAGCATTTAATAAAGAGAGGCATGACAGCAAGGGACAACACCAGCTTTAGAATATAAATTATTTCCAAAATGTTAATGGAGAGAATTATGGGAGAAGATTATGAGTCGGGAGTGAATGGATGAGGCAGAGAGGAAAATAAAGGTGCCAAAATCTTGAGGCGAGACACCCAGTAAGCTAGGTCATTCTAAGAATATTTATAGATGCAGTTGGGAAGAGAACAAATCGATGAAAAATGGGACAAATTTGCCAGCATCTCCATAGTGACCAAATTTTCTTTTTAAATTATTTATGATAATACAACAACCAACAAAATCAGAAGAATGGCAAAAGTTAATTAGCATTTAGGAGAAGTAACCCTCTGAACCCAATAGACCAAGCTGGCAAGATCCAGAATATACTATTTTATTCTTTTAAAATGAGCAATTTACAAATGGAACATATGATTCCAACATGGATCCAAATTTTCATAGTCACAAAAGCTGAAGAAACCTTGAAGTCTCCATGATAGCACATTGTTAATTATCCCACTCAACATTTAAAAAATCAGATCCTTTAACTCTTTACCAAAACTATGGGATGGTAGGGTTCAAAACATGAGGATACATGAGAAAGTGGGGAGGCTTCAGAAGGTGTGGTTAAGAATGCATCTACCACTGGTCTTTTGACATAGTGTCATGACCTTAAACTTTTGAAGTTCTCTGTGCCCAAGATCCTGAGTAGGTTACAGAATAGCCTAGTGCCAGAGATATTCTCAACAATATGTACTCACCAAAGGAAGACCATCTAGCAGCACCAGGCACCTTTGGGCTTTATAATTCTACTGTACTAGCTCTATCTATTGTCAACTCATTAGCCCTGCTATCATATTGCAGTGGCCAATTTAGGAAGACCATTCTAGAGGTTCTGGGTTTCCCAGCATTTGTATATCGAAGACCAGGAGAGAAGCTAATAACTACGTTAAGGCTCTCGATGACTGTTTGAGCCTTTAATTCAACCTAACTTCCCTGATTGTGCTAAAAGTATCACACCTTCTAAGGCCCTTCTCTTTTTTCACCCCTCATGGATTAGATTTGGTGGAGAATGTGACCTGATCTCCCTACAAGTACCTGGAGTGAATAGGCTCATATCTATAAGGAAACGGGTAGTTTCCTTTTCTCCGTTGGACAACAGCAAGTTTGCAACAAAGCTGTAGCTGGCTCCTGGTTTTCTACTTTTTCTGCTGCTAGCTGTTCAGAACAACTACAAGTGCTGTACAGTAAGGCCCAGTGTACTTGTGTCCAGCATTCTGAGCACATTTTTCTCAAAGATTTTCTTTATCAGGCTTTCTTTCAAATCCATCAAACAACTGTACGAAAAGAGTAAACCTAATGTTTACCAGTGGTGAGGGTTGTTCATATTCGGCTTGAAGAGAGGCAGAATAGACATCCCTAGACTCTCACTAAGGTATCCATTCACAGGGAACATAGGCACACCCTGGTTAATGTTCTTAACTGGTTTTTATAAAAATGCAACTTTAGCTAAAACAACCTTGCAGGGAAAGCTTAGTTCAACAGAAACAATGTTATTAATGAGAAATGGGTTATAAATGTGCCAATACCTGTGGGGAGCACTGGGTGAGAGAGACCCAGGAAGACTTGGGGATGAGTTAGTCACCAGAACTCTTAATCTTTCTGTGTCATGGACCCCATTACAAGGCTGGTAAATCCTATGAACCCATTTCCAATCAATCAATAAACATTTATTAAGCACCTACTACAAGTCAGGCACTGTGCTAAGCACTAAGCCTTCTCAGAATAATGTTTTTTTAAAAGCATAATATAAAACACATTAAGATTACAAAGTAAACCAATTACATTGCAATAAAGTTATCAAAATATTGAAAAAAACCCCCTACAAATTCATTGACCCCAGGCTAAGAATCCTTTTGGAAGCAGACTACTCTGATCAAGGAAGAGCTAAGTTCTCCAGAGTGTCTGGGGCACCTCTCCACAGAAGGGAATCCCCAGGAAGGTAAAGGGCTAAGTGGATCAGAGTCAGACCAGGACAGGGAGCATTAGAATAAAAAAGTAATGATTGATTTCCAACTGACTTTCAAGATTGTGCTAGTGATTAATGTTATAAGCTGTCTGATGTATTTTATGTGAATGGAACAACATGGCAAGCCTAAAAATAGCAATATAAAAATATTGAACATTTTTGTGAAATCAGGGCTTTTTCTTGATCCTCTTGGTATGGGGCAAGGGTGGAGAAAGACACAGAGTCTTCGCAACTAATTTGTTGCTATAGTTGTTCAGTCCTGCTTGACTCTTTGTTGACCCCATTTGGGGTTTTCTTGACAAAGATACTGGAGTGGTTTGCTATTTCCTTCTCCAGCTCATTTTACAAATGAGGAAACTGAGGCAAATTGGGTTAAGTGACTTGTTCATAAATGTCAGAGGCCAGATTTGAACTCAAGAAGATGAGTCTTCCTGACTCTAGGCCTCTCACTCTATCTACTGGGATATCTAGCTGCCCAAACAGCAAATTTAAAAAACAACAAAAAAATTCATTGTAAAAATCAGACTTGCTGGGGCAGGGTTGAGAAGGCAGTGAGAAGTGGGGAGAGACTCAGGTGATGGGATATGTCTCAGTGCTTGGGAACAAGGGGTTACCTAATGCTGGAGTTTTGCTGTATTAAAATGAGTGCTTGGTTATAGGACTGTAGATTGAGAGCTGGAAGGGAACTTAGAAGTTATATAATTCTTCCTCCCTCTCCCTCCTCATTTTATAGATGATTAAATTAAGGTCCAGATAGGCCTAGTGACCTGGCTAAGGTGACATGAATAGCAAGTGTCAGAGGCAGGATTCAAACCCAGGTTCTCTCTCAATCCAGAATTCTCCCCATGACATCGTGCTATGTATTATTGATAGTACTGTGAACCTTCCTCATTTACCTACCAAGCAGCACTGCTGCTAACCTGACCCTAGTCACCAAAATGCTTGGACTCTGGGACATCCCACCACAAGTGTGCTCCACTCCATCAGGGGAGGAGCCAAATTCTCTATGGTTCTCAAAGAATAGGTGACCATCTGTCTTCCTTTTCTGTTTCATTTTGGGAGGCTGCATTTGTCTTACTAGTATAAATGTTGTGAGCAGCTAGGTGGCTCAGTGGATAGAGAGCCAGGCCTGCAGTCAGGAAGACTCAGCTTCCTGAGTTCAAATCTGGCCTCATACACTTAGTAGCTATGCAACCCTGGGTAAGTCACTTAATCCTGTTGACCTCAGTTTCCTCATCTGTAAAATGAATTGGAGAAGGAAATGGGGTCATAAAGAGAAGGACATGACTGAAAATGACTAACAACAGCATAAATCTTGTGGTTAGTGGGGAGTTATCCAATCAGATTTAGCTTTTAAGCCCCTGCTAACTAGAAGCTCCACTTCTTTCCTGAATCTATCATATTTTACTGAGCCCTATTCCTATTGCTTTGGCATAATGTAGTAGGCATCCCATCAAATGTATATACATGTGTGAATAGTGAGGAACTCACCAGTAGGAGGAAGAGGCTACCTTCTTCCAAATTAATTAGAATTACCAAATTGATTCAGAAGTCCCCTAGCCACCTCTTACTTGTTAGGTTGTGTTGCTCATGTCAATACAGGATTTCTTCTGT